TTTCACTTTCATTCACAATGCGGAGAATCCTTGACTAGACCTTGAGTCTCGACTAAAGGAACAAGGCCCTCTTGAGTCAATTGCCTAGAGGGACGTATCCTTCTCTAGAACAACTGATCAAGGCGTTCTGAACTAGACTCCCTCTATCGAAAGGGGTTCTCAATCGATACAAAGCAGTGAATTAACCCTCGACTAAAGCAATCGATCCACTACTATCAATCTATGGTGCTCTATTGACCTAATCAGGTATTCCCTCTCATAGGATCAAAGCAGAATCAATAATCTCGACTAAAGCAGAATTGAATCATGAAAACATGCATAGATTGAATATGAACTCAAGATTATCAAGTCAGAGTACTCATACAATCATCCAATCAAACAAACATAGCTAGGGTTCCTCAAACCTAAGTGAAGGGAAGTTACTCCATAGAGAAGAGAGAGACTGCAGTAAGAATCTTCAGATGATCAGTCTTCAAGTCCGGGCTTGTTCCTCGAGCTTCCAAGGCGAAGAAATCCTCCTTCTCTACTCCAAGAATGCCCTCAAATCGCCCTCTCTCTCTAGGGTTCGTCCCTTGGGTGTTTGGGATCCAAAACCCAGCTCTCCCTCCTCTTTGGTTCGGAATTTGGCTTAAAACCAGGAAATCCCGACTCGCACGGCCAGGGTGCACGGCCGTGCATATCACCATTCTGGCCGTGCAACTCAAAACGCAGCGTGTCATTTAGTCGAACTTCAGCCCTCTCGCACGGCCAGGGTGCACGGCCGTGCGAGCTTCAGGGGTTGCCCGTGCGTGTCCTCGGCATAAGGCGCACGGCCATATTGCTCACTTGCACGGCCGTGCAGCCTTCCTGGTCTGCCCGTGCAGCTTGCTCAGCCTCTGTTTAATGCTTCGTTTCTCCCTCGTCCGGACTCCGAATCAATCTCCGTTTGATCCCAGACGCTCGTAGTCTCGTCCCCTTTCGTTTCATAACAAGCTTGCATGATTCTTTGTCCATAAAGTGAGGTAGAAATCCATTCTTCTTCAGGTCATGCCCGAGTTTCTTCTCTCGAATCGTCAATTGATCTCTGATTGACTTGAAACTTGCGCCTATGCTTCACTTTATGTGCTAGGACCTGAAATGGGACAAAGGAATACAACCTAGCATAAAATAGGCCAAAGACGCAATAATTCAAGCTCAAACAATCAAGAAACAAAGGGGAAAACATGTGCAAATACCGAGTCATCAAATCCCCCCACACTTAACTGTTTGCTTGTCCCCAAGCAAACCTAACTCAAACCAATGCAACTCTTCAGACCTCTATAGCAACAAACACCCCAGATCGTAGGTAGAGGACTTCCAAGATCATTTAGCAGCTTACGAGGTCAACCGACGCACAAGTCATCTCATAGCTTCTTCGGTGAGTCGGCATCATGGCAAACAGTGAGCAGAGGACAAATGAATTGTGGATGAAGAGATTCTCAAAAACAAAAGATCATGGACTCACATTTTTCAAGGTGCTCGATTTTCTTTGAAGATGGTTGGAACCCCTTTTCTTTCTGTTTTGCTTGTTTTCTGTTATTTTTTTCCTTTTTTTTTTCTTTCAAGGGTCCCAACCTGCTCTTACCGGCCATGCCAGGAGCGGATGTCTCGAGCCTCGTGCGGGGGAAAGACATGTAAGGGGGCTGGAGGTAGTAGGTGGAAATTGGGAACGAATTCCCGTCTCCCCTTACACACTTTCGCCCTATTCGCACGGGAGACGTTATTTGAAGCACATTTTCGAGCACCTGTTAAACTCAAAACATGATACAAGAGTCCATGACAGGTAGAAAATCCACAACACCACACAATTCAAGGGTCCTAAGATCACTAATTCACTCAATCAACCAACTTTATATGAAGAAGAAACGAGACTTCTTAAATGCATCAACATCCTCCATAGTGCTACACTACCTCCCTAGGTTGCATATTACTATAAAGACTGTCAATTCAAAGCATACTGAGCAGGCAATTGCATGGAACACGTACTTGGAGCCCTCAAATTTAAAAATTTGGGCAGTGAACTAGGCTCCAAGCACACAAACAGCCAAACATTCACCCGCATACATAATCGAACACCCCCCCACACTTAAGCACGACATTGTCCTCAATGGAGGAAAGATAAGGAGGGTAGAACGAAGTTACCAGATCAAGGGTGAATGATGATGTACGGGTCAGGCAGTGCATTCCAGGAAGAGAGAGTAATCAGAACACAAACACCACACAAAATCTCACAAAGGTTGAGTTATTGACTCTAAAATCAAATAACAAAACTGACTCAACCGAGGAGAAAAAGAGAAAGAAATGCAAACCGACTGGTTGGGTTGCCTCCCAACAAGCGCTTCTTTCACGTCGTGAGCCGGACGATGGCTCCTAAGTTTCGGTCCATGCTAGAACCTCCTTGAAGTTGAGGTTCTCGTCGATGAGGTGGAGTCTCAAGTCACGAGCATGTGGTGTGGCAGGTGATGAAGGCTCATGTACTTGATGCAGATGAAGTCTCCACCCTCGAGACCTCTTCTTCTCTTCTCTCGTCTCATTGCCCCAAACCAGATAAGACAGCATCGATTGGCCACCATCGCGTCCACCAAGAGGGACCGATGTCGATGTGGCCTTGGTCTGGCAAAGAGACACTGCAAATGGGTCCTTGCTAAGCAGTTCCTCGAAGTTTGGTGGAGATATCACATGTAACTCATGGCCGGTGCAAGCCTCTTCCACCTCAACTTCGTCCTCATCCTGGACGCCAATCGCCTCTTCAACCTCCCTTCCTTCTTCATGTGGTATCACCCCTGGGAAATGATCAAGAACTCCTCCAGCTTCACTTTCGTCATCCTCCACAACTTCTTTCTGCACCCTTTCTTGCTCTTCTTCTTCTAGCACGGATTGGAGAGCAAGTTGCCAAGCAATTTCTTTCATGAGATCTTCTTGCATCTCCTCACTCATGCCCGCCTCTTCAAAGCTCAGTTTGGGGTGTGGGAAGGTGTGGTCGGCTACGACATGACACGCCTGATCATGATCATCACGGGAGCTCTCCGTGACAACTTCAATGTGTTCCACAATGCCCTTGTAGCCTTCTTCTTCCTCCTCCTCCTCTTGTATGGTAGCAGAAGGGGGATCTGGAGCAGGTTGGGTCCAAGATCGCTCAAGATCATCGACGCTCTTCTTAAGGCTCAGGAGGATCTCATCTGTTTCACGATAGGCCTGGACACACTGATCCATCCTGGAGCATGTTCTCTCACAGTCTCGAGCAAACTGCTCCATGAGTAACTCCAGCGCCGATGGCCCTTCTAGTTGTGGGAGAAATTCTTCTTGATAATGAGGTTGTTCTTGATAAGCCCAGGGGTCCGGTTGTTCTCCGTAGTAAGGGGGTTGGTACTGGAACCCGAATCCATAGTCTTCTCCGCCTTGATTGCTCCACGGAGTCTCGGGGTAATACCACCCAGATGGTGGTGGATACCCCCAATGATTGGAGAAGCCATTAGGATCCATGATTCAGATCTGCACCAACAAAAACAAAAACACCCAAGTGAAAAGCAAGGGTGGAAAAGAAAAGAAACGAAAAACGCTAAAGTAACAAACTTCTGCCTTTCCTAATACTCTAGAAAGTCCCCGGCAACGGCGCCAAAAACTTGATGCTCTAAAACACAACACCTAACAAAGGCCAAGTGTAACCAATGAAAGGGACTGCAGTATAGTGGCTCAAGTGATAAATATCGAATCCACGGGTCTCTAGAGTTACTATTACTCAGCTTCAGTTTATTATTTAGCAAATCAGATTAAGATGAAAGAACTAAAACTACTCTAGCAAACTACAGTTAAAGTTAATCTAATTACAGGTTGGGAACTCACTTAGGTATGATTCCCCCTAGCCACTAGCCAGATTAATGATTGATGATCTCTAACCTGTTTCACTTTCATTCACAATGCGGAGAATCCTTGACTAGACCTTGAGTCTCGACTAAAGGAACAAGGCCCTCTTGAGTCAATTGCCTAGAGGGACGTATCCTTCTCTAGAACAACTGATCAAGGCGTTCTGAACTAGACTCCCTCTATCGAAAGGGGTTCTCAATCGATACAAAGCAGTGAATTAACCCTCGACTAAAGCAATCGATCCACTACTATCAATCTATGGTTCTCTATTGACCTAATCAGGTATTCCCTCTCATAGGATCAAAGCAGAATCAATAATCTCGACTAAAGCAGAATTGAATCATGAAAACATGCATAGATTGAATATGAACTCAAGATTATCAAGTCAGAGTACTCATACAATCATCCAATCAAACAAACATAGCTAGGGTTCCTCAAACCTAAGTGAAGGGAAGTTACTCCATAGAGAAGAGAGAGACTGCAGTAAGAATCTTCAGATGATCAGTCTTCAAGTCCGGGCTTGTTCCTCGAGCTTCCAAGGCGAAGAAATCATCCTTCTCTACTCCAAGAATGCCCTCAAATCGCCCTCTCTCTCTAGGGTTCGTCCCTTGGGTGTTTGGGATCCAAAACCCAGCTCTCCCTCCTCTTTGGTTCGGAATTTGGCTTAAAACCAGGAAATCCCGACTCGCACGGCCAGGGTGCACGGCCGTACATATCACCATTCTGGCCGTGCAACTCAAAACGCAGCGTGTCATTTAGTCGAACTTCAGCCCTCTCGCACGGCCAGGGTGCACGGCCGTGCGAGCTTCAGGGGTTGCCCGTGCGTGTCCTCGGCATAAGGCGCACGGCCATATTGCTCACTTGCACGGCCGTGCAGCCTCCCTGGTCTGCCCGTGCAGCTTGCTCAGCCTCTGTTTAATGCTTCGTTTCTCCCTCGTCCGGACTCCGAATCAATCTCCGTTTGATCCCAGACGCTCGTAGTCTCGTCCCCTTTCGTTTCATAACAAGCTTGCATGATTCTTTGTCCATAAAGTGAGGTAGAAATCCATTCTTCTTCAGGTCATGCCCGAGTTTCTTCTCTCGAATCGTCAATTGATCTCTGATTGACTTGAAACTTGCGCCTATGCTTCACTTTATGTGCTAGGACCTGAAATGGGACAAAGGAATACAACCTAGCATAAAATAGGCCAAAGACGCAATAATTCAAGCTCAAACAATCAAGAAACAAAGGGGAAAACATGTGCAAATACCGAGTCATCAAATCCCCCCACACTTAACTGTTTGCTTGTCCCCAAGCAAACCTAACTCAAACCAATGCAACTCTTCAGACCTCTATAGCAACAAACACCCCAGATCGTAGGTAGAGGACTTCCAAGATCATTTAGCAGCTTACGAGGTCAACCGACGCACAAGTCATCTCATAGCTTCTTCGGTGAGTCGGCATCATGGCAAACAGTGAGCAGAGGACAAATGAATTGTGGATGAAGAGATTCTCAAAAACAAAAGATCATGGACTCACATTTTTCAAGGTGCTCGATTTTCTTTGAAGATGGTTGGAACCCCTTTTCTTTCTGTTTTGCTTGTTTTCTGTTATTTTTTTCCTTTTTTTTTTCTTTCAAGGGTCCCAACCTGCTCTTACCGGCCATGCCAGGAGCGGATGTCTCGAGCCTCGTGCGGGGGAAAGACATGTAAGGGGGCTGGAGGTAGTAGGTGGAAATTGGGAACGAATTCCCGTCTCCCCTTACACACTTTCGCCCTATTCGCACGGGAGACGTTATTTGAAGCACATTTTCGAGCACCTGTTAAACTCAAAACATGATACAAGAGTCCATGACAGGTAGAAAATCCACAACACCACACAATTCAAGGGTCCTAAGATCACTAATTCACTCAATCAACCAACTTTATATGAAGAAGAAACGAGACTTCTTAAATGCATCAACATCCTCCATAGTGCTACACTACCTCCCTAGGTTGCATATTACTATAAAGACTGTCAATTCAAAGCATACTGAGCAGGCAATTGCATGGAACACGTACTTGGAGCCCTCAAATTTAAAAATTTGGGCAGTGAACTAGGCTCCAAGCACACAAACAGCCAAACATTCACCCGCATACATAATCGAACACCCCCCCACACTTAAGCACGACATTGTCCTCAATGGAGGAAAGATAAGGAGGGTAGAACGAAGTTACCAGATCAAGGGTGAATGATGATGTACGGGTCAGGCAGTGCATTCCAGGAAGAGAGAGTAATCAGAACACAAACACCACACAAAATCTCACAAAGGTTGAGTTATTGACTCTAAAATCAAATAACAAAACTGACTCAACCGAGGAGAAAAAGAGAAAGAAATGCAAACCGACTGGTTGGGTTGCCTCCCAACAAGCGCTTCTTTCACGTCGTGAGCCGGACGATGGCTCCTAAGTTTCGGTCCATGCTAGAACCTCCTTGAAGTTGAGGTTCTCGTCGATGAGGTGGAGTCTCAAGTCACGAGCATGTGGTGTGGCAGGTGATGAAGGCTCATGTACTTGATGCAGATGAAGTCTCCACCCTCGAGACCTCTTCTTCTCTTCTCTCGTCTCATTGCCCCAAACCAGATAAGACAGCATCGATTGGCCACCATCGCGTCCACCAAGAGGGACCGATGTCGATGTGGCCTTGGTCTGGCAAAGAGACACTGCAAATGGGTCCTTGCTAAGCAGTTCCTCGAAGTTTGGTGGAGATATCACATGTAACTCATGGCCGGTGCAAGCCTCTTCCACCTCAACTTCGTCCTCATCCTGGACGCCAATCGCCTCTTCAACCTCCCTTCCTTCTTCATGTGGTATCACCCCTGGGAAATGATCAAGAACTCCTCCAGCTTCACTTTCGTCATCCTCCACAACTTCTTTCTGCACCCTTTCTTGCTCTTCTTCTTCTAGCACGGATTGGAGAGCAAGTTGCCAAGCAATTTCTTTCATGAGATCTTCTTGCATCTCCTCACTCATGCCCGCCTCTTCAAAGCTCAGTTTGGGGTGTGGGAAGGTGTGGTCGGCTACGACATGACACGCCTGATCATGATCATCACGGGAGCTCTCCGTGACAACTTCAATGTGTTCCACAATGCCCTTGTAGCCTTCTTCTTCCTCCTCCTCCTCTTGTATGGTAGCAGAAGGGGGATCTGGAGCAGGTTGGGTCCAAGATCGCTCAAGATCATCGACGCTCTTCTTAAGGCTCAGGAGGATCTCATCTGTTTCACGATAGGCCTGGACACACTGATCCATCCTGGAGCATGTTCTCTCACAGTCTCGAGCAAACTGCTCCATGAGTAACTCCAGCGCCGATGGCCCTTCTAGTTGTGGGAGAAATTCTTCTTGATAATGAGGTTGTTCTTGATAAGCCCAGGGGTCCGGTTGTTCTCCGTAGTAAGGGGGTTGGTACTGGAACCCGAATCCATAGTCTTCTCCGCCTTGATTGCTCCACGGAGTCTCGGGGTAATACCACCCAGATGGTGGTGGATACCCCCAATGATTGGAGAAGCCATTAGGATCCATGATTCAGATCTGCACCAACAAAAACAAAAACACCCAAGTGAAAAGCAAGGGTGGAAAAGAAAAGAAACGAAAAACGCTAAAGTAACAAACTTCTGCCTTTCCTAATACTCTAGAAAGTCCCCGGCAACGGCGCCAAAAACTTGATGCTCTAAAACACAACACCTAACAAAGGCCAAGTGTAACCAATGAAAGGGACTGCAGTATAGTGGCTCAAGTGATAAATATCGAATCCACGGGTCTCTAGAGTTACTATTACTCAGCTTCAGTTTATTATTTAGCAAATCAGATTAAGATGAAAGAACTAAAACTACTCTAGCAAACTACAGTTAAAGTTAATCTAATTACAGGTTGGGAACTCACTTAGGTATGATTCCCCCTAGCCACTAGCCAGATTAATGATTGATGATCTCTAACCTGTTTCACTTTCATTCACAATGCGGAGAATCCTTGACTAGACCTTGAGTCTCGACTAAAGGAACAAGGCCCTCTTGAGTCAATTGCCTAGAGGGACGTATCCTTCTCTAGAACAACTGATCAAGGCGTTCTGAACTAGACTCCCTCTATCGAAAGGGGTTCTCAATCGATACAAAGCAGTGAATTAACCCTCGACTAAAGCAATCGATCCACTACTATCAATCTATGGTGCTCTATTGACCTAATCAGGTATTCCCTCTCATAGGATCAAAGCAGAATCAATAATCTCGACTAAAGCAGAATTGAATCATGAAAACATGCATAGATTGAATATGAACTCAAGATTATCAAGTCAGAGTACTCATACAATCATCCAATCAAACAAACATAGCTAGGGTTCCTCAAACCTAAGTGAAGGGAAGTTACTCCATAGAGAAGAGAGAGACTGCAGTAAGAATCTTCAGATGATCAGTCTTCAAGTCCAGGCTTGTTCCTCGAGCTTCCAAGGCGAAGAAATCATCCTTCTCTACTCCAAGAATGCCCTCAAATCGCCCTCTCTCTCTAGGGTTCGTCCCTTGGGTGTTTGGGATCCAAAACCCAGCTCTCCCTCCTCTTTGGTTCGGAATTTGGCTTAAAACCAGGAAATCCCGACTCGCACGGCCAGGGTGCACGGCCGTGCATATCACCATTCTGGCCGTGCAACTCAAAACGCAGCGTGTCATTTAGTCGAACTTCAGCCCTCTCGCACGGCCAGGGTGCACGGCCGTGCGAGCTTCAGGGGTTGCCCGTGCGTGTCCTCGGCATAAGGCGCACGGCCATATTGCTCACTTGCACGGCCGTGCAGCCTCCCTGGTCTGCCCGTGCAGCTTGCTCAGCCTCTGTTTAATGCTTCGTTTCTCCCTCGTCCGGACTCCGAATCAATCTCCGTTTGATCCCAGACGCTCGTAGTCTCGTCCCCTTTCGTTTCATAACAAGCTTGCATGATTCTTTGTCCATAAAGTGAGGTAGAAATCCATTCTTCTTCAGGTCATGCCCGAGTTTCTTCTCTCGAATCGTCAATTGATCTCTGATTGACTTGAAACTTGCGCCTATGCTTCACTTTATGTGCTAGGACCTGAAATGGGACAAAGGAATACAACCTAGCATAAAATAGGCCAAAGACGCAATAATTCAAGCTCAAACAATCAAGAAACAAAGGGGAAAACATGTGCAAATACCGAGTCATCATTTGCCCCGGTGAGGACCTAGATGGCTCAGTCTTGATTCTGATGTCTTGAGTTTGATGCATGCGATGACTGTCTTGGTTAAGTGTTTGAGTCAAGTCTATGTTGGTTGGTGAACTGAAATGATTCCTCTTCCTTTACCCGATTTTGCTGCACTAGGAATGTCCTCTGTGGTGGTTGTCTAGGTTCCTGTTGAGTTGCCCATGTGTCAATGATCAAAAGCCAGTATGATTCATGTGTCCCGTGCCTATACGATTTGTCCCCGAAGTTGGTATGATTGAATGTGTTGAGCTTACCTTGTATCTGACTTGGTTTGCTTGGGGACAAGAAAACGGTTAAGTGTGGGGGATTTGATGACTTGATATATACAAATGTTTTTATCCACCATTCTTATGCCGTTTGAGTCTCATTTCTCATATCTTAGGCCGATTTCACGTTAGGTTGTTTTCGTTTGTGTTATTTCATGTCCTAGTACGTGATTGGAGGTTTGGGAACGAGTTCGGGGTCGTTTGGACGAAAGTTGGATGTTTGGCGAGAAGCTGAGGAAACCACACGACCAGACCTAGCAGCCACACGGCCGTGTGGCGTGGCCGTATGGAATCCCATTACGCGGGCAAGACCACACTGGCCGTGTACTGGGTCCCTTGAGGCCGTGTGGAAATTCCAGGGAGCTCACACGGGCAAGCCAGTTTTCTACACGGCCGTGCAGCTCTGGCCGTGTAGCATTCGTGGAGGCACTTATTGAAACGTTGCGTTTTGGCACTCACACGGGTAGACTGGGAAGCCACAAGGTCGTGTGGCCTGGCCATGTGGTCGGGAAATTCTGGGTTTTAACCCAATTTCAAGCCTAAGGAGAGGGAATCGAGTTTTTGAGCAAAAAACAGAGCTTTAGAGGGAGAAAGTGCGAAGAACAACCCATAGGAGCTATTTGGAGTGGATTTCTCACCATTGAAGCCCAGATTGCATCCCCAGGAGTGAAGATCGACATCTCTGAGCAGATTATCCTCATCTTTATGAGTATGACTACTCTGATTTCTGTTATCCTCTCTCTCTATGGAGTAGAACCTTCTCTCACTTGGGTATGAAGAACTCTAGTTCCATGTATTAGGAATCTTGATTGTAATGACTTGGGATTGATATATTGATTGGTTATAATCGATTGATGAATGATTCATTGAGTCAATTGAAGTTTGATCATCTTTTCTTGATTTCTGCTGCAACCTGAGATAGATAGAATCTGATTAGGTAGTTAGAGCTTCATCAATCGGTAGTGGTAGATTGGTTATACGAGAGTTAATTGATTTACTGCTTTGTATTGGAACCCAAATTCTAGTAGTGTAGTTCTGTGCTTATTGCCTCAACAGACTATCCCGGTGAAAGTTAGTCGCCTACCGGTTAGCCTGCTTGAGAGGGCTTGGTAGCTTAAGAGATTCCAAGCTACTGTCGGATCTTCCGCAGTTTAATCAACCCAGGATAATTACAACCTTGACCTAACTAAGGAGCTAGGGGGACTCATTCCCGAGTGACTCTTCCTTGGCTAAAGAACTTTGAATCATTTCCAGCTTTCTTACTGCTTTTAGTTAAAATCAAAACCACTCGACTTTGTTTGCTCGATAATAGATAATCACGGAGTAGGCAGTATATCTAGATCCCGGGTTGACAAATAGAGCTTGCCACTTTACTGCATTTCCGGACTGAGAGTACACTTGGTCGCAGTTTTGTGTTGTGTTTTAGCGTGTCAGTAAGCTTGGGTGGTAGTGGACAAGAATTGTATGACTATTAGTTATAGTCTTGCTTCTATTGGCTCGGGCAGTGAGATCGAAGAATTCTGACAAATTCATGGTGGGAAAAGACCCTGCGAATCACTATAGTTTTCAATTGATGAGCTCTCTTAACCATTGTTTGTCCTGAACCTCCATATAAGTTTGAAGGGATAACCAAATGCTGTCTTATTTTGAATTCTTTGATGTTACATCTTTCGAAAGATTTAAGGTTTTTGTTAAGCTTCACCTGCTATTCAACGTGCTTGGGGATCTTAATCTCTTTTGAATATAGATGTCAGTTTGAACACTGCTTTGTTAGTAGCGTGTAGTGTTGTCCAGCTGGGACCATAAGGTTTGATGCACAATATGCTTTGTCAACTCTTTCAAAAGTTGGTTAGAGGTGGGTTAATGTGTGTTGATGTCCTTTTGCTTCTATTGTGTGCATGTATTGAAGTTATTACAGGCCGTCATCCACCACACCTACACGTGAGGTCAAGATGTTGGAGACAGCTTGGCAATGAAATGGATTAGCAAGTAAAAGTCCAGGGAATAACATGCTAGCGGGATGTTCTTTGACTGCTTTCACTTGTGATTGCTCTGCTGGGAATTTGGACACTGTTTTTTGTGTTCTTTGAAATATCGACCTACTGGAGAAAGACTTTGATCGACAAGAACAACTCATCCAAGTGAAACGTGTGTTTTGGGGGCTTCAGCTTTGCTGTGGGCTTATAATCTTGGATTGTTTCATTTCGTCTGTAGGCATTTGCGTTAAATGGGATTTGCCCCTTCGTGTAGTAATAGTGGCCTTTAGGTTGCTTAATGATCCTTCTACTTTTGCCGCACACCAAACAACAAAACAAAGAGATCACTGTTCCTTCGCTATCAAATATATTTCCTCTTTGCTTTCCATCTTTTCTTGCTTCGCAGCACTCTGGCGATTCAAAAAAAACGAATAGACAAGCAGAGTCCACCAAGTTGAAGAGAAACGTCTCACGGTTAACTTTGCTTTTCCTCTTTGTTTGGCACACCATGCTGCCAAGTTTTACAAGGAAGGCAACTTTGGCAACCGACCCAACTTGCCATTCCCAATTCGCTTCTACCCATAGTGCGCTAGCTTATAATAACTCTATTTAAAAATTAGCTAACATATATCTACTTTGAGGTTCTTTTGACCTCTATTATCATTATTCTTAGACACCAAACCATTATAGTTCTCTATTCGCCATTTATAATACTTATATATATATTTTTTACTTAATATTAAAAATTCATGCTTGTGCACGAAGCGATAACGAGCAGGTCTTTGCTAGTTAATTATACAACATAGATAGCAATGAATCGAAACGTCTGGTAATAAACATGTGAAATGGGTAAATGGCCCTTAATTACACACATCCCCTTGGACCCTTGCCCACTATTAATGGCGACCTACCACCTTCACAACCAATACCTAAACCCTCACAATACAATTAGGTTACTTCCATATATAGCTGCAGCCTGCAGGCCACCTTAATTAACATTCATCTCATCAGTCAAATTATAAACACAATGCCACATTCGGTTGCCGTTTTCGAATTTTTCTTGCTATCTGCCTCTCTTCTTTGTTGAGTGATGACATTTGTGTTTCCTGAATTGGGACTTGGGACATCGTCGGTGTTGCTGAGATTTGTTTTCATGTCTTATTCATCTTGTGGAGAAGACAATTTCTTATGTCATAAAGTTAGAAACGCCTACTTCGTTGGAAGATATTTTGTGTGAGTTACACTAGTAGTTGTCGAGTCAATCATCACGTACACTTCATCCGGTCCAATGTTGGATTGTTTGCATCAAGAATCGCTTCCGAGATTGTATCGAAAAAGTTAGCGATAGGGTATTTTAGGCTATAACGTGAGTCAACCATTTCATACTGCTAAATACCGTCTACTAGTTTCGCTTCGATAGAAGGTTTTTCAGATCGAACTGACGGTACGATTTTGTCAATTCTTGGTTTGCACTCATATTTGCAATGACTTTGTGTAGCCAGCAAATTCATATGAGTGACATATCCGGATTATTTTCGTTTTATGTAAACTATAGTACGCCAGCTCAATTCGTTCTCAGTGATTACTAATAATCGAAGATCAATGGTCTAGCCACTCATGATTAGTGTAGGTCATGACGATGAGATTTTCCTGTACGTTTTCGGTACATACCAAATGATGTTTATGCATTTTTGGAAATACTCAGAACTTCAAAACAGGGGCAGAACCCACTACCTTATATACCAGTATCATTTGAATCCCAAAGTATGTCAAAACTTCAATAGCACCATTAAAAAACTTTCAAATTGAATGTTTACCTTCATGAAAATACGTAAAATCTATGTCGACGAGAATGTGATTCTCATTATAGTTGCGAGAGATGTGGACAACTATCCAATATCTGTAAAGGTAGTGCAAAATCATAAAAGCAATGCTGACATATATAGGTAAGTGCTGCTCCCTTCCCATATCAAAAGCCTAGGTGAATTTCACCATTAACCTACACCCCTACCTACCCATTCAGATGCCACCTCATCATCATTCATCACCCATCACCCAATCCCATCCTTCCACCTCACCCCCATCCGCCATTAACGCATTAACTCCCCTCTTCACCTGCCACCTCTCTCCCGTCCCCCCGGCCAATATATATAACTCCATCCATATCCCCACCCACCCACCATTCATCTCCATCTCCTCCCTAGATCTCGCCCCAATATGGTTTCCGACAGCCCGGTGTACAACGTGAAGATATCCTCCGTTGGGCCGGGCCGCGCGACGGTGGGGGAAGTGGTCCAGCACTACGGCGGGCTGGATCTGGCCATGAAGCTCCACTACCTGCGAGGTGTCTACTTCCTGGGCAAGGCCGCCGCGGAAGGGATGACCACCACCCACATCAAGGAGTCCATGTTCTTCCTCTGCAACGACTACTACATGACCTGCGGCCGGTTCCGCCGCTCCGTGGGCTCGGGCCGGCCCTACATGAAGTGCAACGATTGCGGGGCCCGGTTCCTGGAGGCCCAGTGCGACTTGACCTTGGAGGAGTGGCTGGACGGATACTTCTCCGGGAAGGCCAGCTGGAATATTGGGCAGCTCGTTTACCATCTCCCCGTTGGGCCCGAGCTCTTCTTCTCCCCTCCCGTCTATTTGCAGGTCAGTACGACATAATTACTGTTTAGTCCTCGGTTTTTCCGGAACCGACGAAATTAGATCGTATTATCGTAATAATAGTGATGGATGTGACAGTGATACATGAATGGGAAAAAGTGCAATTAATGCTAAAGCATCCCCGTTAAACTCTGAAAGAGATGGAAACTAGCTAGCTTAGCTCCATCTTTATTAATTGGGCGACTAGTCGGCCGAAATTAATTAAGCTACCGCCATTAAAAGAAGTGCTGCCATTTGCGATCTGATTTTACGTACAAGGATTGGGTATGGCCGCCGGCATTATTAACATAGACATACAAACTGTATCCAAGTTTCAAACTGTGCAAATTGCAACAGGGGCTGGGTCTAAGAATAAAACTCAGAGATAAAAACACTTTTGACGT